TCCTTGGCCCTTGGCCATGGCCCAATACATGCAATGTAGCGCGGTCAGACTTCACTTTGAACGCTTTCTCCAAGCTTCGAACCCCACGCCTCCCATGGGAAATGTAGGCCATTCCTATGATGTACTTGTTCGATGCAAAGAGGGTTCTTTGGTATCACGGAAAGCGTGTTTGTCTTCAGATAGAAAAAGTGCCCTAAAGGGATTGTTGCCTCGTGGTTTCCCTTTTAACCACCCCCCCAAAGCAGTTGCCAACTCAAAACACAGACACCAACTCCACAAAACAGGCCCCAACTTCTAAAAGCAGGTGCCAACTGTTCTTGGCTCGAACTCAAAAAACAGGTGCCAACTGTTCCTCCCGGCTCCAACTCAAAAAACAGGTGCCAACTGTTCCTCCCGGCTCCAACTCAAAAAGCAGGTGCCAACCGAAAAACAACAAAACGCTCCTCGTTCCCGGTGTCCTTTCCCTTAGTTAACTCGTCGCCATGTCGGCCTCCTTCGTGACACGCGGCGACAGGGCGGCCCCAGTAGCCGGGCAAGCATCTGAAATGGACCTGGCACCCGTCCAGGTCCACGGGCGTTTTCCGCGCGGCCAAAGACTGTCATAAAAAAGGCGGGCTTTTGCCTTAAAAGGGGGGCGGGCAAAGGGTCACCTGGGCCTGGGTGGGGGGGGTTCAGTTTCTTTTTGAAGGGGATCACTTTCTTGGAAATCAAACGAGAGGTTGACTTTCAAAACGGGTTCCCGACTTCGGGCTGGGTTGTGAGGCTTTCGGTTCGCAGTATCCATCCGCACAGGCCCTTTTTTGGGCAACTGCGAAAAGGACCACCCGCATGAAGCCTTTGTTGCGCAGCTCCCTGGTCGAATTGCGGGGGTGTCTTTTTGCTACCACAAAAACATGTGGCTTGCCTGTTGGTTCCTTTTAAAACCACCCTACAAAAGGGAACGCTTAAAAAAGACTACCCCATCTATGCCCACCAGCGCTTTGGGGTGTTCCAACCGGTAGAATTCAAAGCCGGCATGTGCGGGCAAAACTCCTGTGCCATGAACGACCCTTTCAATGGTGAGGACTACCTGAGCGGTTCATTACAATCCTCAACCCCTCACTAATTGGTTGTGCCGTTCTTGAGGGAGAACATTTTTGGGGACATGCAAAGGCAAACCAAATGGACGAAAGCCCTCTTTGGGGCAGTTCCCCCCAGAAAAGGAGGTGGCTTTTCGTTGGTGTCCCTTTCCAAACGGGATCCAACTAACCAAAAGTTCCACCTTGACTAGCCCATGGACTTGAACGGGGCGGATTCCCCAATCGGAAAGTCCTGCCACTTGTGCAGTGGAAGTCTGCGCCCATCATGAAACCAAGCGACGCCATGGGGGCCCAAGGCGTCATCTCAGCAGTTCCCTCGAAAAGGAGGTGAATTGGGGGGCCAGCTTGGCATCCACAAATCAAGACGGGTTTTTGGGTGCAGGTCACTCAAAGAGGATCCTAAAAGAAGGTGTTGAGCTCTGCATGTCCCTCGATCAGGAAAAGGGCACTTTCAGGGTGGTGAAAATAATCATTTTATGGAAACTGTATAACTTGATATGCCTGCATTTGCAGCCCTGCAGCCATCTTTCTAGGGTATTCTTCCCCAGTCTTTCCAGGGATCCTTCTAGAAAACCATCAGAACCCCAGAAAAAAACTGCGATCCGTTTTTGAAAAGAACGATGGTTGAAAAGAATGGGGCATGAACCCCTAGAAGCTTGGCTCAAGGCATTGATGTTCAAAGATACGATGCGGTGTGGGCCTCAAAGGCTTCGAGCCTCTACTCACGGCGAGTCTCAAAAGCCAGGCGGGAGTACCACTTCACCTACGAAGCTCCGATCCAGGTCATGCTTCTCGACCTCCGCAGTTGCAATGCGTCAACGCATCTCTGGCATGGACTTTTGGAGAGTACCCCTGTTTGGTTGGCTTTAAAGGGAAACCAAAAGGACAACATGGATAGGGGTGTCCTTTTCTTGGAGAGTACCCCGAACCAAAAGGAAAACATGGATAGGGGTGTCCTTTTCTTGGAGAGTACCCCTGTTTGGTTGGTGTTGAAGGGAAACCAAAAGGAGAACATGGATAGGGGTGTCCTTTTCTTGGAGAGTACCCCTGTTTGGTTGGTTTTAAAGGGAAACCAAAACGAAAACATGGATAGGGGTGTCCTTTTCTTGGAGAGTACCCTTTAAAGGGAAACCACAAGGAAAACATGGATAGGGGTGTCCTTTTCTTGGAGAGTACCCTTAATTGGTTGGTTTTCAAGGGAAACCAAAAGGAAAACATGGATAGGGGTGTCCTTTTCTTGGAGAGTACCCCTGTTTGGTTGGTTTTAAAGGGAAACCAAAAGGAACCCACCTTGTTTTTTTTTGGGGGGGGGGCTAAACAAGACATACACACACACACATAAACTTTAAGTGGCTGGACCAACCAACACAAAGGGGTCCACCCCCACATGCCAGTTTCTGAAAGAGCAAGACCCACCATTTGGGTTGTTGGCTCTTACCACATCCTTCGCCCCGAGTTGCCAGGTGCGCCCCGTTCAATGGCCTTCGAAAAGCAACAAATTGGGAGCCGACCATGTTGTCCTTTTGCCACCTTGGGGCCAAGTTTTGGGTGTTGAGCCATTTGGGCGGGGTCCTCTATTTTCGGGAACTCAAATCTAAAAGACGACCTTAGTGCTTTCAGGATTCCGATCTTCCTTGTGGCCCGGCCCCAGCATGTTGATTTCGGGGCTCTGGTGGAATTCATGAGCATCGAGTGTGTCATGGTGACGGCTTCCTTGGCAAAAACATCGACAAGCCACCCAAGGGTTGGTACCCTTAAACTGCGCTGTTCAAAATGGAGGGTTGGCCAATCCTAGTCCAAAATCCGTATAGGGAAGCCACTACAAAGGGGGCCAAATCCTGGCACATAGACAAATATCACCAGAGGCTCGTTTTTGGGGTGGGGGAACTGAGAAGTCCAAACGAAACTGAGACTCTTCTGAGTCCCTCGCCATGGCCATGCTGGCCTGCCTCAGCACATGTCATTTGAACCGCTCCCAAAATGGGCCTCAAACACTCAGATGCCCAGTGGCCATGGGAAAAAAAGGGCACCCTGTGTTGTTGCTTGAGTTGAAAGGGAAACCCTTCTCCAAAAACAGGAAAAGGGCACCACTGGGCAACGGAGAACAAAAACACCTTGGTATGTGTGTGTGTGGTTTGAGGGAAACCCTTATTGTGGTTCTCCAAGGCGAAGCCAAAATGCACCCCACCATAATCAAAACCCGGTATCAAACTGGTCTACCCAGAACCATGTAAAGAATTAAGGCGGCCGCAGCTATTTGTGGCTGGGTTTCTCCCTTACTAACCTTCATCTACCCGGGTTTTGATTGCTCATGTCGTAGTCCCAGACCCCGTTGGAGAGAAAAGAAGAAGCAACGCTCGGAAGAGCGGATCATGTTTCTTGCTGGTGCACATAGTTAGGGAATGACCGAGACCGGGTGTTGGGAATGAATCTAGGGATGCCTCCAAAAGAAACCATAGGGGATGGAGTATAAGGGTCATTCCCTCATTGCCAGCAAGTTTTTCCAGGGTCAAGCTTGAGAAGGGGGAACCCCCCAAATCAACAGAGGCTGCAGATTGCTGGGAAAGGGGGGAGCCAACATTGAGACCGGTGAAGGAAAACTGAGCCGTCTGCACCGTATGCGAAGGGGGCAGGCCTTGAAAATGGTTGCCCAGTTTTTCAGGGTAGTTTGAGGGTGCAAGTAGTTTCCGTTTGCTTCGACTGCAACACAAATCGGAAAAAGTCCGATACTTGTTGGGAACTCTCAACGAAACAAGCAAACAAGAAAGGCAGGCAGACAAACAGAGATGAACAAAAATCAAGCATGCCAAGCCAAGCCAAACAAACACAGCAAACGAAGACAAAGCCTTTGTGAGGCTGTGAGGCAAGGACCTAATTAAGTGGGTAAGTGTCAAAAAATGGGAACGCCCCCCGAAACAAGAATGCTGGTTCTCCTTGTGGGTCCCCTTTAAAAGCTTTAAACCACCCAAAAAAATGTAACTGAAAAATAACATGCACAAATGCGGTCGCACTAAGGCGTCTGCCAAGGTTCCGCCTTGCTCGTCTGCACCGACTGCCTAGGAGTCAAAAGATCTCCAGGGGAAACAACAGGAACAGCTCACTTGCCCAAAGGACCCATAACAACAGGTTAACATTTTGGGACCTTGACTAAACATGGACCACAATGACAAAAACAGAAGGTCAAAAGACCCGTCTCACTGAGAGTTTGCCAAATACACAGTACAGAGAATGTGCTTTAAACGGCGCCTTCTTTGGTGCTTCAAAAGCTCTCATCTGGCCCAACTCTGTCCTCTTTCTCGGTCTTTCTCCCTGGCTCTCTCTCTCTCTCTCTTTCCCTCTCTCTTTATCTCTCTGTCAATGGGCATGGCAACCAAACCACCCCCTTCCCTTCCGGATAGATCCACACTCTGATCTCAGAGGACTCGGAGTCTGGGGCAAAACTCCGCCGGGGATGGTCACACTTTCCTTCAGCGACCCGGCCAATATGGCCCAGTGGCCATGAGAAAAAAGGCCCAAATCGCGTTTGTGTGGCTTGATGTTCAAGGGAAACCACGGACAACCCATGACCAACATATTAGGGGAAGAAGGAAACTGCCTTGCCGCAACACTTAACTGTTACCTGGGCTTTGTGGTTGGTGGTTGGTTCTGGTTCAGGGCATCCGTACCTAAACATGGAAAATCTGTCTTGGCCAGCTGCTGGAGGAAGGTCTGTAGGGACCCACAGCCGATCAGCTGGCACCTGATGCGAAGCGGGTTTCCCGGGCCAAGATCGTTCCAGTTTCATGAAACTTCAAAGAAATCTGGGGTTACCGCGGCGATGCAATATGAAGGGAGACATTTGCACATTGAACGCCAAAAAGGTTTGAACCCAAGCAAGCATGCCTGGCTTGCCGGGGTTTCAGGGTAAAAACACATTGTCATAGCAGCAGAAAGTTATAGCCATATCGTCGTGCTAAGTTTGTTTGATACAAACAGCACTCAAATCAAGAGATGCGTGAAACTGCATACAGCTCGATGGTTTCATCTAGATACGCGACAACTCACTGAACCTGCCTGCCTTGGGTGAGCACGCATGCGCTGGTATGCACATGAACATATGTTCACTTACAAAAAGTTACATAGTCTAGCGAGCGCGCAGTGTCGGGACATTTGTGGGTCAGGAAGAAGGATCAAACTATCCACCTGGCCTGTTGTCCTCGTACACTACCCAGTTGCCGTCATTGCCACACACCGCGGACCTTTGCACGGACGAAATCAATCTGCGCGCCACTCGCTGTGACAAAGGTCAGGCTGGGTCTCTGGCGGTTGCCCCTTGTACCCGCGTTCACATTTGTACTTCAATGTCATGCCGCTGGTGAACCCGTTTTGCCTGGCCTCCAAAGCACAATTGCACTCCAAGCAATTGTCAAAGGCTGCAGTCAAGCCTGCCGGTCATCAATCTGAGGATCAGCGTGATCAACCTGACGGCCGGATGCCGTGCCTTACAATGCCTAAGCCCTCCAACCACAAGCCACATGGTCGTACTCCCAAATTTGACCCATCTTTCCAGGTCTGATTCAAAGACACAGCAAGGGGAGCCGGTGCCGCCAAATAGTGACTGTTATTCACGTTTTCCGGGGCCGTTAAGGATAGATTCCTATGAGCACAGAGGACCATGCTGACTGCCAACCTAGAGAATCACCGCAAACCAACCCAAAACCGAAAGTCCATAATTACCTACCTGGTTTGTGCCTTCTGATCGAACATGTCTAAGCCACTTGTTGACTTGAAACCCTCAAGTTTATATACCTCAGCTCTTGCCCGACGAAAAACACAATCTTCAGATTGTGGCCTTGCCCGACGAAAAACCAAATACAAAACAAGAAGAAGCCCTTTGCTTCGACCCCTAACCAGCTTTTTCGCGCCTTGATGGGTGGCCCACACCCAACCAGCTCACAGGTCCCAGACCTGAGGTGGACTCCCGGGGAGGTCTTTTCAATCTTTGGCAGTGGGACTCCCTAAATCGAGATGTTCCGCGATTTCACAAGCGTTGAAAAGATGACTTTGCTGGGTTCCCCTCCCAACGCTGCCATGGAACATGAGGTCCATGTTGACAGGAGGGTATTCGAACTGACCCAGGTGGACAACTGGAGAAACCGAGAGATCATCTTCCAGGTTCACAGATTAGCTCGGTCGTCCGCTCCCCCTCGCAATTCTGGGACCAAAGAGCAACCAGGGCCCCACTGATTTACAACAATGTAACAATAACTAACATGAAAGCTGAAAGTCATCATCTTGGGGTCAAGCTGAAAGCACCGTGCGCTTTTATGAACATCTCTTCATCCCAGAACCCTTGGTTTCATTCAGCTGCCCCTTCCAAAAATAATACATCCCCATCTTAACCGTGAGAAAAAGGCAAAGATCTCCGTGCATTTCCACACACATCTAGATAATGTTGTGAATTTAGGATTCCCTCTAGTCCGTTTCCTCTTCCTCTTGCCACCCAAAGAACATCAAGGGGCTGCCTGTATTCCCACAAAACTACAGGTCAACTCAACAAATCAACAGGTGGCGAATAGAGCTGGACCTTGCCATGACGGGCCCATTTAGCTATGTTGCTCCATGGGAAACACCCTCAAATGGTTGCTGGGCCCAAATTCCTCCCAAAATCACCACTCAAAAACATCAGTTCCATTTCTCCGACCCTCACCCGCCTTTCACCTTCTGCGCAACCCCGTTTCTGTGCGGTTCTCCCCGCTTTTCCTTGGGCGGCCGGGCACGTACATGTGCCCCGCCGCGGAGCAGGAGACCACTGGGCTGCCCCGGTAGCCCAGCTCGCAGCCAAAGGCGCGCGACCCGCAGAGGGGAAGCCTCGCGCGAGAAGCGTCCCACCACCTAAATTGTAAGGCCTTCCCTTGAGCTGGTCAACTTGAGTCAACTTCCATCTCTTTTTCGTACTTTGGTGGTCTGGACCTGTACCCAGGTTTGGTGCTTGGGTTGGTGGTTTGGACCTTAGGAGGATTCGAAGGAACTGGGTTTAACCCCCAAACCACCAATCCAAACCACCAATAAGGCAGACCTGACTCAAACTACCAACTGAAAAATGGGATGCCCCCGAATTGTGGGGTGATCTCTTGTAAGGAGGGCTTGATTGAAACCAAATGGATACAAATGGGTACAGCATATACTTTCAACACACCCAGAAAGAAAACATCTGGACACCTTGCTCCATGGTTTAAGCAACTGTTCTATGTGTGCCCAGAACGGGGGTACCCTTAGGTTGGCCGGTTGCATTCGAAAATCAGAGTCCTGAGAATTGTCAATCTTCAATCCAAAGACGTGTGCAGGTGGACAGCATCATGCTCACGTGTTGGAGGTCTCGAACAAAGGGAAGGACATGACTCAAAAGAAGCGCAAGAAAAGGCCTTCTCATAGCAAGCCCTTGAAGCAGCGCTAAACATCTTCAACATTGCTCATGTGCCCGAATTTGCAGGAAGTGTTTGTAAGTTCTAGCTCTGAAGAACGGATATCTCTTAACACATGTGAAGGATAGTTGCCTTACTGAATACTCCATATATTGTGTCAATCTATTCCTTGGCCCACATCTGGGGCACACAGAAAACATACCTTCTCATGCAAAGGAAGCCATCTGTCCAGAGGTGGAAAAAGGGACAAAAGGCCGGGAGGGGGGGGGGGAAATAGCAAAAAGACCAGATCTCAAAGAGAATACAAGGGTTGGGCATTTCATCTGGGGCCTATTTGTTTCATAATTGTTTGTGCCGGTTGTTTCCTGCTTTTTTTCAGTTCTGGACAGGAATAGAATTGTGCGACCCGTCTCCTAGGAGGCAAGTTGTGGACTGAGTGGATCGCTACCAGGCTGTCTTTTACTGTTAAAAAAGTCCTTGTCTAGCTTGCTTCACAGACCAGCGAATTCTGGGATGGGTTTTGTGGGTACCATAATGTGTATATGCGTATACATATTCAGTTCCATCCAGGTGGTTGGGGGCCTTGTCCCGTGTAAAACCATGCAAACAGGGCTACCCAATTTTGAGACAAGCCCATGTCTTCTCATGGGCTCCAGCCCGAAAACTCGCTTGGTCCCTGACTCAAAATGCAATCGCGCAACGGGGCAATTTGATGAATTTGGCCAATTCGCAAAACTTAACCGCTTCTCTCGGCCCACTAAAGCAGGAGACCATGTTGTCAGATTCGATTTCATATCAGCTTCCCACTAATTTGTGGTTTGGATTGGTGGTTTGCCCATCCCCCTACAAGAAGCAGGCGTGAGAAACCCCCCAACCACCAATCCGGCTAAGGTGAGGGAATTAGTCTATCCTTAAAGCTTTAGCGCCCCAGTTGGAACTTCTCAATTCCTTTGAGAAACCTAGGTTTGTCTCATGCAACCCCCAAACTGGGCGGTCCTTCTGGTTTCCCCTAGCCATGCAAAGGTGCCGTCAGGTTTATCCGCCCCAAGGGAAAGGAGAAATACCTGCCACATAAAATACGGCTGGTCAAAAATAGGGTAAATGGAAGCATTGACTAGCAACCTGCGGTCCCTGGTTTCATTTTGACCCACAACCATATAGTGGTCGTATATACCCCCTAAGCCCTCAAACAAGGCCATGATCCATTCTGCTACCTTTGAAGAAAAACCTGATTTACCCTTTTTAGGTGTCCTTTCTGAAATAGATGAGGTCCCAACAAAAGATGTGGTTTTCGTTTCGGTTCCCCCTTACCCGCCAAAAGGGGTTCCGTAAATCCAAGAGATCATCTTCAGGCAAATTTGCGGAGGATACCCACCAGAGACAGGGCTTCGGGCTAACTTCCCAGTTGCTTGAACAGCCTCACCCATTTGGGTTTTTCTTTAGGGTACCCCTTTTCTTTCTGGCTGGGAAAGGGAACCCAAGAGGAGAAAAACCACCACGCCCCTGTGCTTCGTGGCTTTTAAAGGGAAGCCAAGAGGAAAGCCGAGATCCATTTGGGCGTCCCATTCCTCAAACGAGCCCGTTCGAAGGCTCCGAGGCTCACGCCACTCGCCGGGCCCAGAGCTTGGCAGCTTCCAGTGGCTTCCCAGGTGGTGATCCTAAGTCCAACTGGGCGGTTGGCTTCACCCAGAGTCGGAAAACCAAAACAATTTTGAAAACCATGGCCCGAAATGAGTCATCAAAAGCCGGTACAAACGATTTTGTCATGGCTCGAAACCCGGTTTCCCCCAAAAACACGAGTCGCCATTTTCCCTTGGACCAGGAGGTTTGCCCCCCAAAAAAGGTTTATCCAAAAGGAAAATCGGAAAACCGGAGAAAAACACGACTTTGTCGTGGCCCGAAATGTTTCCTTAGCCTTTTGGCTGTTTGCCGACCACAAAAAAAACCTCTGCTTTTCCACCAAGCTCCACGAGGATCCATCCAACATTCCCCGCGCAATACCGTGGATGGAATAATCCATTTCGCACCAAGAACCCCTATGATGTTCCCCTGATACCAACCAACAATCGGGTTTTCGCCATGTCTTCTTAGGTGCCGCTCCATCCGGGCGTCTCCGTGAGGGAAAACTGAAGGCCACGGCTCACGGGAATTTCATACGAATCTCCCCACCTACTGTGGATGGACGAAATGCATTTCTCAGCACCTAAGAAGCCCATGGTTGAAACCACTGTAATCATCATAGGGTGTCTTAGGTGGTGCGAAATGGAATTTTCCATCCACACCTATTACCTATGTCTGGCTACTGCTACTCTCCCTTACGCATTTCCCTTCTTGTGTTCGGTTGAATATACTTCCCAGTGAGGCTCCGCGATGCCCTTTCTTTTCTGCCGGAACCAATTGACTTGTAGGTTCTATTGGGTATATAGGCCTTCATGCAACACGAAAGGTAGAACCACCCCATGGCCGGGTGTTTATAATAGATGCTCTTGCCCTCCAAAGCCTACCCAAAGACACTTGGAAGCCATGCCTTTGGGCCATGAGGTTGGGAACTCCCGAACCAACCCTCAAAAAGAGCACCCAGTGGCTCCCATTCCCCCCCCCCCCGGCCAAAAAAAGGGAAGGCACAAATCCAAACGAGTCATGAGGTCAGTAATGTGAATTGAGGAGCCTTACAAAAAGACTCTGTGATCTCAAGCACTCGGCAGGACGCCAACCAGCCAAGTCAGCCCAAACCCAGCCTGCAGAAAGCCAGGCACACTGGCCTCGGCTTCGGAAGGGTAGGTTCTGGAAAAGCAACGAGCGGAAATCATCTACGCCCGTGAAACCAGTCTGTATATGCGCAATGATTGGCATGGCGCAACATGTCCTGTGGTCCATGGATACACTTATCATGTCCAAGTACAGTTGGACAGCGACATCCAGCAACGCCTCGATTTGACATCGAAAAAGCCACCACAGCGTAGAAGCTATGTGGGTAAGTACAGATGCTATGAGTGGGGAAAAAAGGTGTTGTGGCACAACGCGCCGGGATCGAGCAAACGAGTTGTTTGATTTTGCCAGGGAAAAAGGTTCTAGAAGCGGACTGAAACTTACTTTTCTCTACTCTGCACATGTGTACACAACCATAAGGGATCCTTTGAAGCTCGCACCCCGAAACTTCTCAGTGCCAAGTACAGTTTGGCAGCTCGACTCGATCTCAGAATCTCGCGTCATCTCGGTTCGCATGGTTTTCTCCAACCCTACCTTGTTCTTGCCAAGAGCGGGCCCACCTGATTTTAGATCGATGATCAACATCCTTCTTCTTGGGGGATTCTGATCGTACGAGCACAAGGTCCACTGTGTACACACATGTACATTTATATATAGTATGTCATACAGTCATATATACGTGTCTATATATACATCATGTGTATACATACATTATGTTACTATATGTTACTCGTGAGATTTGACAGTCAACCCTGGCCCCGACGCATTTCGAGGCGTCCACTTGCGAGCAGGTGAAGTTGTAGAAGGGGGGCATCTGGTGCGCATCCAGAGCCGGCGGAAGAAACCTCAGACAAGGGGCTCGAGGGGGGCAGCCCCATTAAAAGGAGCCTCCCCCACAAGGGAAAATGGAACTCATGGAATTTCATTTGTCTCCCTCCCCCACTGTCATCCTAAAGGGCGTGAAAATGACGAGCTTGGGTTCAGTGACCAGTGAATCACAACTTTGATCAGTCCACCTCTTCACCTTTCATGCCCGGGGGGCAGCTCGCGGAAAGGGACTGTTCAAGATGTCCAAGACGCTTATGTGGGTTTGTGTTTCTCTGTGACCCTCTTTTTTTGGAGGGGGGGGGCAACCAAGGGAAAGCCACCATTGTAGTTCTATACATTGGGACATACCCACATTGCTGTCTGAGCCAGCGGCCAACAAATGATGACCACCTCAGCTGTGCAAGTTGCACGGTGCACCAAAGTCCCGTGCCATCCCAACGCTAAGCTCCTCACGCTTGCCGACGCGTTGATGGCCTGCCGGGCATCAACTGCTGGAGAAACCGATTTCTACCGCTGGGCAGCCCGACGAACAGTGCAAAGGTACGGAGACACCTTGGCGACAACCATCATTTCATACTTGTGTCCCACATACACAATGCTCACGGATTCTTTCCCGGTTGATTAGGGGGGCTGTCTCAAACATTTTGAGCCAGCCCAAAAAAGGGTACCGACTCAAACAAAGCACCCACCCACACACACACACATCAGAGCAGGCCCTCTTTGGGCGCCAGGCTGCATGAACCTCTTGCAGCAAGCCTCATCTCGCGGGGATCGGCGACTCTGCCCCGGGCAGGAATGCGTTCAAAGAAGTTGTACCAGAAGGAAACTCCTCTCAAGCTTTTTGGGTTCCAACAGGATTCCGATGGATACTTCCAAAAACCACCTACTTTACAAGGGATCCTGCAAATCAGCTGAAAGTGTCTTGTGCAACTGGCCCCAGCTGGCCCTTGAGGACTCGTGTTCGTCTGGCCCTTTGTGCTTCTCTTGCCCGAGTCGAGAAGCGTCAGCAGTCGGCTTGGGTTTCTTGAAGGTGGAGCCTTCCTGGACGCACCGTGGAAAGCCGAACTCGATCCCTGGGCTCCATCAGCCCTAACGAGAAGCTCTGCACGGCAGATTGGCATTCCAGGATTTCTTTCTCACTGAGCAAAGCCTGCACCAGTTGCAATGAACACAGAGCCCATGCGAATGAACCACTCGCGCCCTCGCTGCGTATCATGAGCCCATCGGTCCTCACAGAGCTCCGTCAGCAAAGCCGTCACCCATTCTTTTCCGTAGGGGTATGCCTCGAGCCAACGGCTTCTCGCAGGAAACATCCGGAGTGGAAAGTCCCCGAGCAAGTGCCCCGGGACCCCAAAGAGACATGTAGGGATTTATGCCCAGCTGGGGCCTACGTGTTGCTTTAGGTGAACTCTTTTACGCTCCGGCAAATTCAAATTCACATAGACCCCCTCCCCCAAAAGAAAAATAAACAAGTTCTCTCTTGTCAAGAACATGTTGGCTCTTTGGGTTCCCTTTTTACAGGGGAGAAAACTGTGGATCGAGCCATGTTTAAACATGTTTTTGTTCTGGCTTCGATCTCGGAGTTGAATTGTGGTTCCTTGGCTCCTGATTCCACTTTATATGGGTGTGTCTTGAAATAGGAGACTCCAAAGTGGTGAGTCCCTTTGGTGTTCCCCTAAAACACAGCCATGTTGAGCTACTTTAAGGGACCTAGTGATTCTGGCTCAAAATGTTGGAACCCCTTTTGGATCATTCAAAGTGAAACCTGAAATGCAACCAACCAGTGTTCGGGTCCCCATTCCTGAGACAGGAGATCGTTTTGGGCCCCTTCAGCACTCCGACGCAAAACAAAAAATCCATCTGAGCCGCCAGCACAGGTGGCATGCAAGAGGCTCAGGAGAGGCCTTTCGCTGGCCACAAGCCGTTTCAGCTGAGTGGAACTTGGAGACCCGAGAAAAGTAGATACATGGCTATGAATTTCAACTGGGGACCCTTTGGCGGGGGGGGGACATCATTTGGACATGAATCCACTTCTGAGGTGGCTCCCTACGTGGCTCAAATAAATAGAGACCAACATGGCAAAAGGTAAATGGAAAGACTAAAATCTGAAGTAAATAATTGTAGATGTTTGGAAGAGCATTTCTGGGTGCATGGAAGCCAACAAGGTTTGGGAAGACTAGCATAAAACAGGCGGAAGCTGTCCGCTTCCATGCATGTTGGACGAAGGGCATCTTCCCCAGAAAGGACATGGGGAAGATTGCTGTGTCCCCGGTTTTTGTGGGGAGCTCGCGAACCCCAACTGGACCACAGACTGGCAAATTCGAGAGCTTGGCTCTGGTCACTCAAACTCATCCGGGGTCTGGGGCCCCGGCATTTCTATGCAGCACAAGAGGGTATGCCACAGGTAGATCTGAGGTGCAACAAGCATTTCATACGGTTTCCCCGCGAAAGTTTCCCCAACCTGCTCATCCTCCAGCCGCAGGAAATACCTCGGAACCGATACAATTTTTGTTGGAAAGACATGTCCGAGGCCATGGCTTGATGATGAGCCATTGGAAATACGTCACGCTCACCACGATCTTCACCTTTGGGCAACCATCAGCCGCTCGCCCAAAGACAACAGCCAAACCACTAGCCCCAAACCACCACCCCAAGAGAAAAGCTGGGTACAGACCCTTCATACAGTGCCTATCCATTAAACCTCTGGTGTGCCTGCTTGCACCGTGGAAATCAATAAGCACAACACCTCCATATCAGGGAACTAGCGCTGATTCGTGTTGGTCCGGATGCATCCGACGAGGTTGAGGTCGGCACGCCCCAGAATTTCCAGTAGGGCTCGATGGGCTCCAAGAAAATATTGAACATCTCGGTTGCCACGCACAGGAGCCAGCTCTGGCCAGAAATTCATGGCCAAATCAAGACCAACTAAGCATCCCGCGCGTTCAAATGTGAACACGAAGAACAATGCGAAGGAACACAGCGCGTAGATGATCCTCAGCAAGTGTGCGAGAACCCCATGGTACACATGGGCGTCAAAATTGACATATCGCTGCGTCTTTTTTGAGGGGACCCACAAAAAATGCGGTGCCATTTTGGGGTCACCATAAAACCACCAAAAAAGGCACCCTCGGAAAACACACACCCACAATATGTGCAAGTGGCTGCTTTCATACTGGTCCTGTTTTGAAACAGGCCGTTGTCCCCTTCGAGCCATCCAGCCTTTCGGGGTGATGCGAAATTCGGACAGACCTGAAAACACCTTTCACCGGTGCGGCGTTTGACTCTGGCCACATTGAGAAGCCAGCGCTTGGGTTGTAACCTGCACGTTCTGGTCGTACCAGGTGTTGCAATTGTCGCAATTTCCATAGGCCTGCCCAATTTTGGCCCAGAGGATTTTGGAGGGTACCTGGACGCTCAAATTTGTGAGCTCCCATTTTTAAGGGCAGGTGAGGATCCCAGTGCCCTCAGGCTGTTCAACGCGGATTCCAGCTGAAACTGGGCATGTTGGGTGTCGAGATCTGAGCCCGGGGCTTCCAATCTGAGAAAAACAAAAACAGAGCAATCGAAAAGATCGTCACGACTGCGAAGCAGCCAAAGGCATTGTGCATGCGGTGAAGGTGAAAAGTTGGGAGGTGCACAAAGAGGAAAAAACAACGCTCGGAGCCTTGTAGCAGAGCGTGGGCATGGTCGGCGCAACGATGCCCTTCACGAAGATTTCGCCCATGGTCGCCAGGATCAAAAGCGACACCCACGCCTCCGGAGACAAGGGAGAAACGGGGCAAGTGCGTCAAAATCAAAACCTGGTACTATTGGTCTACTCAAACCAATGTAAAGAAAGAAACGGGCGGCCTCACCTATCTATGGTTGGGACTGTCCCTGACTATTCTGAATCTACCCGGGTTGTACTTGTGGCTCAAGTGGGCGAAGCACGGTAAAACGAGTGAAGTACTGCCAAAGCAGAACAATGACAGCCATCTTGC